TCTCCTTTAGCAGGGGCAGCAGCAGGGAGCTCTGGGCTCTTTTGAAACAATATTTATATAAGGGGTGTGTGTGTGTTGGGATAGATAGATAGATAGATAGATAGATAGATAGATAGATGAAGGGAGGGAGGGAGAGAGAGAGAGAGAGAGAGAGAGAGAGAGGCAGGGAGGGGGGAGGAAAGAATGAATGGAGGGATGGATGAATGAATGCATGGAGAAAGGCGGGAAGGGAGGGAGGGAGAATGGAGGGATGGGTGGGTGTCTGGGGATTTGTTAGCGCAGGGGGTTTATTTGTTCATTCCCATGTATGCAGATGAATTGGAGAACTGGTGTGAAATGAAGCCAATGAAATTCAGAGAGACCCAGTGTGGCTGCAGGCCGGGGCTCCTGGGCCAGGCGGGTGCAGTTTGCGGGGGGCACAGATGGAGCTTGGTTAACAAGGTGATATGTGCCAGCTAAAAGCAACTCTCTTTGTGGGGGCATTGCCCAGAGAATGGGCTGCCGGGCACCGAGCGCGCTGCTCTGCTCAGCACAGGGGAGGCCTCAGCTGGATCTTTGGGGGACCCACCAGCTGCTGCTCCACACGCTGGCCGGGCTTTTGGGGGATCTTTGGACTGCGCTTGGTGCCGTAGGATGTGCTTTGTGACTGTTTGTGGCCTGTTGCCATGGCAGTGGGGAGGGTGGGGAACCCTTCAGAGGCTGTGGAGTTGCTGGATCCTTCACGCCTAGTTAGCCGGGCCCTTATCGGCAGCCAGGTTATCAGCGGGCCCGGTCGTAAAGCGGGCCAAGGTCTGCCCTGCGAGCAGCTTGCGTCCGGGAGGGCGGGCTGGGTCAGGAGCATCTTCACAGCCATTTCTGGCTGCTCTTCCGCCCCGCCCGGGCTCAAAGTCCAGCCTCTGGGGTCATGACCACTGGGATGCTGACTGTGACGCAGGAGGGACCAGCCCTGCTGCTTGTCATCATCCCAGCCCCGTGAGACGTACGACGGACGCACCTCTTTCGCACCAGGCATGCGTGAGGGATAACGGCCCTACTACCGCTGGTAGCGACCACACTCCCACTTCGGGAGGGCTGGTCAAACCCAGTGGTGTCAGAGCAGCAGGACTGCCCTCTCCCCCACCCAGGACATGGGCTGCTGGACCCCTGGACACGGCCTCTGCAACACCCAGGTGCTTCTGGAGCAAGCAGGAGAATCAGGTCTCACTCTGGTCTCTGAGTCAGAGAGCAGCTCAAGCCAGGAATTAACTCATTCATGGTTTGGGCCCTGGCCAGAGAATTCGCCCAGCTGGCCCCGGACCACACCAGTGCATCATGCCCTGCCCCTTGTTCTGGGTTCAGCATCTCCCAGAGGGGCTGGGTATCCCCCTTACGGCAATGCGATCCACAGGTGTCCCTTCAAAACAGAGCGGGCAAGCATGCCAGGCTCTGCTTTCACGGCCCGGCCTCGACTGGCCAGGAAGACATCCTCTGCCTTTCGTGTTTGGCTGATCAGCCGTTGGCCCTCGTTAAATATTGACGTGATGCTGGCTCCCTGCCAGGCTCTGGGCAGGCAGAGCCTGGGAACCCACCGCAGCTGGGCACAGAGGACGGGGCAGGTGGTGGGACCATGCCAAGGTAGCACGTCAGGATCACGGCGGTGATTCACTCGGTGTTTGCCATCGCGCCGCACCCACCTCCCGCGCCCCTGCCCCCCTTCTTGCTCTCTCCACACGCTTGTTTTTCTCCACATGACCCGGGCTCTGCTATCTGCCCTGCCTCTGTTTGGCTGCCGTCACATGCCACAATGGCAGGAACATGGGACCCCGTGACAGGTGCTTAGCCATCACTGGGCCAGCCTGGGCAGATTGGGCCAACCCGTCCCCACCCAGGTCCTGGGAGAGAGATGCCCCCGTGGCAGTGCCAGCAGCCAGGTCTGGGTACAGGAGCCGCACGCCATGCTGGGATGAGTCAGTTTGGGCGGGAGGGTTACACTGCCAAAGACCAGACCCCTGCATCTGGAGCTGTCACCCCCGCAAGTCTGCCAGGCACAGGGGGACGTGGCTGGAGACACAGATCCTTGCTGGGGCACCGTAAGCAACAAGCGCCCACATTCCGACCAGACCCCCATTCCCCGTGCACGGAAACAGCTCCCGCTTGGCCTTTTCTCACTTTATTCCCCCCTTCCCCCCCAAATCACAGCAGCAGAGTTTAATTTCTTACACTTACATTATTTCAGCCCCAGGGGCTGGCGGGGAGCTAAATCCTGGGGGCGAGGTCACAAGGAGAGATATCCCCCATGTGGGGGGGGGGGGAACTGCCCCTGTGGAGCAATGGCCCCAGCCAATGCCTTTTGCCTTGCTCCAGCATGACATCTGCGGTCCCTGGCCCCGCCCCCGGCCTGAGTCCCACATCCTTCCTGTGGCCCCTGGGAACACAGCCCCCTTTCTCCTGCCCCCATTCCGCTGCTGTTTGCTCAGGGCAAAGGAAACAATTGGAACTAAACAGCCCCCCGAATCGCCGGCAGAGGGGCCCAGGACCAACCTATGCCTCTCCCGCTGGCCCATTCTTCCTCTCCGACTGCTGGCCCCACC